GACTGGGAAGATCTCAGAATGTCTACACTGAAGACTGCAGTTTTAACTTATGGAGGAAATATAGAACTCTCCTACCTGTTATCAGAAAGAAAAGTCCATTGTTAAAAGAAAGTCAGTCGTAAAAATGATATGGAGATGGGAGGAGCTCTGACAACTGTTGTGTGTTTAGTTTTTGTGATGCTTCTTGTGTCTGGAGACCACTGTAAATTGTTTCCCGCAGTTGCTAGCCCCCCACTTACTGATTTGTGATTGGAAGGCAAATAGGACAACCCATGAGCAACTGAGGAGGACAATTAGAATGCAGTAAAAAGAAGTCCAGTGTTGCTCTTGGTTTCAACTTTTCAAACTGGGTGATGGGTAGCACATAACAAGGAACGCAGAATGGGGTGTCCTGAACATTGTACCCCACTCAGAGTAACAATCAATCCTTTCTACTCCCTGGGATCGGTTACTTGAGGACACACAGATAGAGAAATATGTTTCCTCCTTATTGCAGTTGACTTTTAGACGTGCCTTTTCCTTGAAGGACCAATTAGTCCAGATCCATTTTGGCAAACCTTTGAAGCGTTATACCAGGGGCGTCCCTAGGGTTGTGTGTCACCCGGTGCGGTAACACTTGGTGACACCCCCTCCGACGATCCCCGCAGAATGGATCGGATCTGCAGATTGAGCATAATGGATAGGACTCCGATCCATCCTGCGGGGATCGTCAGCTTTCTTTACAACTTACCTATTCTTGAAGCGGGTCTGGGACAACTGCGCATGTCCCTCTTCCAGGCACGATCAATCGATGATAGCAGTAGTTCTATCATCCAGTGATCCGGCCTGAAACCGGGACATGCGCAGATGCTTCAGGGGGACATATCTCCATGGGAGCAGTAGTGTATTTAGATTTTGTGCTGCCCTAGGCAACACAAAAAATGTGTGTCCCCCCCCCCCCCCCCCCCCCGAGAGAGTGAGAGAGTTCAATAATAAGTGTGTGTATGTATATATGATTCTCTCTCCCTTTCTTTTTCTTCTCTCTCTCTCCCCCCCTCTCTCTCTTTCCTCCCCCTCTCCCCTCTCTTCCCTCTCTCCCCCCTCTCTCTCTCTCTCTCCCCTCTCTTCCCTTTCTCTCTCTCTCCCCCTCTCTCTCCTCCCCCCCTCTCTCCTCTTTCTCCCCCCTCCCTCTCTCCTGCTTTCTCCCCCCCCTCTTTCTTTCTCCCCCCTCTCTCTCCCCCCTCTCTCTCTTTCTCCCCCTCTCTCTCTTTTCTCCCCCCTCTCTCTCTCTTTCTCCCCCCCCTCTCTCTCTTTCCCCCCCCTCTCTTTCTCCCCCCTCTCTCTTTCTCCCCCCTCTCTATTTCTCCCCTCTCTCTTTCTCCCCCCTCTCTCTCTCACCCCCCTCTCTATCTCCCCCCTCTCTCTCTCTCTTTCCCCCCCCCCTCTCTCTTTCTCCCCCTCTCTCTTTCTCCCCCCTCTCTATTTCTCCCCTCTCTCTTTCTCCCCCCCTCTCTCTCACCCCCCCTCTCTTTCTCTCCCCTTTTCTCTTTCTCCCTCTCTCTCTCTTTCTTTCTCTCTTCCTCCTTTTATTTATCTCTTCTTCCCTCTCTCTCTCTCTCTCTCTCTCCCCTCCCCTCTCTCTTCCCTCTTTCTCCCTCTTTTTTCTCCCCCCCCCTTCCCTCTCTCTCTTTATCCCCCCTCTCCCTCTTCCCTCTCTCCCCCCCCTTCTCTCTTTCCTCCCTCTCTCTCTTTTCCCTCCCTCTCTCTCTTCCCTTTCTCCCCCCCCCCCTCAGATCGTATGGGACCACACACACACACCAACCCATCCACCCCTCCCCCCTCTCGCCCCTCTCGCCCCTATCCAAGGGCTGCTGATCTCCATGCAGCAGGAAGGGGTGTGCAGTCTCATACGTTCTGTCAGTGATCTGTGTCAGTGTAATCTACCGTATGGATGACAGGAGGGAGAGTCCACAGAACACAACACAGCTCACCTCCTCTGGGCTCTTTCATCACTTTCTCTCCCTGCTCCAGACATTCCCCTGGTCCTGGCTTGTCAGCTGCTGGAGGGAGAGGTGCACGATCCTTGCTCTGCAACTTCCCTCCCCCACACCCCACTGCATCGATCTTCCTGCTCTCTGCTGATGCTCAAAGGGGGGCCGCCCCCCTAAAATTGCCGCCCTAGACAAATGCCTTGTTTGCCTTGCGTGGATACGCCCCTGCATGAGAGACACATCTTACCGATACACTGGTGTCACCCCGCAGTATCGTCCGTATGCAACCTATACGGGGTGACACTAGACCCGCTCCAAGAAAAGGTAAGTTGTAAAGAAAGCCGACGATCCCCGCAGGATGGTTCGTCGGCCTGCTTTACAACTTACCTTTTTGTGGAGCGGGTCTAGTGTCACCCCGTGAGGTCGGTGTCACCCAGTGCGGACCGCACCCCCCGCACCTGTCTCGGTACGCCACTGTGTTATACCATTGGGGTGCTTTTGAATGTAATGTATGAACAAATGTACTGATACATTAACCACTCCCCATCCCTTTATACAGTGGTGTATTATGGTTTTGTGCTGCCCTAGGCAACACAAAAATCATCTGCCCCAACAGACACCAACCAACACCCCCCCTTCCCCCTCCCAAGGAGAGAGCCTGACATTGACCAACAACACCCCTGCCCCCCACTCGGGAGAGCCTTCCACTACCCCCCCTCCCCGCGACAGAGAGAAAGACACTCATCTTCAAAGCTCCAGACATCCCTGGGAATGGGAGTCAGGCTCTACATACACCATCAAGCAGCCCCTCTTAGATCCCACCTGGTTCCTGTGGTGCACGTGTCCCTTCTTTCATCTCTTCTTCTGAGGGGAGGTGCTGCCCCCCTGAAAAATGCCACCCTAGGCAAGTGGCTTGTGTGCCTTGTGGTGAATACTCCCCTGGGACTGGGGCACAGATCGGGGCTCTGCTCGCTCCCAGGGTAATGGATGCAGGGGGACATTTAGAAATGTCCCCCCACATCTGCAAAATCTCCCATACAGCCGTTTATTGGCATGGGCCAAATGGGAAGAGGTTAAGGATCTCGTGTGGAATGTTAAGTTGGACTTCATGAATTTTTGCTTTTTCTTTTGAGTGAGGATCCAGCTTCAAATTCCTGTCAGATTCAAAGGTTCTGGTATGCATTTATTTTTTTTGTTTGGGGGGGGGGGGGAACTTTACTGTATTTTTTTTCTCATTCTGCCTTATTAAAATTGCTGTTCGCCCAGGATTTGCTGAACCGAATATGAACCTCATCCCTATAGTCCAGTATTGCCCCAATAACTCCATATTCAGCCTTGATCTCCTTCTAATATAACATAATAAATCATCACTTTACATTTCAATGTAGACTTTTGTATCAGTAGAAGCCGAGATAACATGAGGCAAGCCAGGCCGAGTCCCGGAGACCGGTCTGGTATTATCATATCACCGGAGATTGGGCAGACCCATTCCTGCTCATGTTTTCTGCCAGAGATTTCCCAGAATTCTGTCCTGCATGAAAGAAGATGTGTATTTCCAGGACTGAAAACTGCCGACATCAATAGAAACAGGAAATCGAGGAATAAAATATCCATCACCATTTATTATCACCACAAAAGTGAAATTACTCTGTAATACAAGTCACAGTAGAAACATTTGTAGAAATTATTACTAAAATTGGCAACATTTCCAGGAACCAAAAATCTAAATCCCGGGACCGTCCTTGGAATCCCGACACACCTTGGCATGAAATAATTGCATTTAAAGGGCCTCCATCATGAGAGAATTGTGGAGGCTGACATTGTTCAACCCTTCTTTAGGGAATGCTTGTTCCCTGGATGTCATGGCAGTGCTTTGGCTGCAGTCTTTGACCCGGACACAGTTCTTCCCACATGGAAGAAAAATACATTTGAAATACATTTTTTAAATATTCTTTCCTAAACTATTGCCATATATTTGAAATACTACAGTTATGGCCATATTCAATATATATATATATATATATACATATATATACATATATCTATACATATATATATACTGCATGTTGAAATGTGTTTTTATTACAAAATATATGAAAAAATATTTTTAAAAATACATTTCAAATATACTTTATGCCTTTAAAAACACAAATCTACATTTTTGGAATACATTTACATATATAAGTAAAAATATATGTTAAAATGACTTTTTTATATGTTGAAAAAAATCTGAAGAAAATATTTCAAAAATATATATTTAAAAATATATGTAAATGCATTCCAAAAATGTAGGTTTGCATTTCTAAAGACATACAGAGTATTTGAAATGTATTTTTAAAAATATTTTTCATACATTTTGTAATAAAAACTAATTTCAACATGCAGTATATATATATATATATACTGCATTTTTTTTTTTTTTTTTTTTTGGACTGCATTTACAAATATATATATTTTGTAATAAAAACTTATTTCAACATATATATTTATTGAAATGTATTTTGAAATATATTGAATACGGCAAAAATTGTAGTATTTCAAATATATGGCCAAATATTTGGGAAGGATATTTTTAAAATAGATTTCAAATATATTTTTCTTCCATGTGGGTTACATTAAACAAAGCCGGGTAACTCGCATTTTCAGAAGAAGGTCTGCAATTGCAGACTTCGGGGTTTGATTTACTGTGCACTTTGCAAAAGTTCAGTTGTACTCTGCAAGCACAGTTACTCCAGAGCTTAGTAAATGAGGTAAAGATTCACTTTACAAAGAATTCCCAATCACATGCAAGGAGAAAAAAAAAAGAAAATATTCAGAATTTTGCTTGCATACGATTGGATGATGGAAATCACCAGAGCTCCTGCTCATTTACTAAGCTCTGGAGCAACTGCACAGTCTATTTGCCGTTAGTAATTCAACCCTTTTGTATTTCTAACATAACATAGTCACCACTTCCTCCAACCATTGGCTGAACGGTGAACCAATCCCACCGCCCTTTCCTTTGATGTCACCATTCTCTAGGTGGAGGTCTCACATCTCCGGGATCCCCCCATATATCTTTATAAAACCTTGCTCTACACATACCCCGGCATGGAGGGGCTCAGTGAAGGTGGTGGTGAAGGTGTGGAGGTGTCGGCTCGGGTCACACAGATCATAAAAGGAGATCCTCCCGGCCTCATAATCCAGATATATCCTGATTCTGGTTTTGGTGATACCGGTATAAAAGATGTTCTTTTTATTGTTTTCAAAAGTAGCATCGAAAATACCTATTTTAGCACCCCAGGACTTGTCATTACGCCCAATCAATGAATTACTTCCTTTCCTGTCTACACTGGGGTAACACATCCCAAAACTGCCACAAAATGTTTTCCCGACTTCCAACTCCCAGTAATGTCGTCCCGAGGAGAAACTCTGACTGCTCATCACCTGAGAATAATCTGTGAATCTCTCTGGTGTTTCTGGGCGATTCTGGTCCATATCTGACCAGGATACAGTTTTCCTGTCATCTGATATATGTAGATTATTATGAGCTGTGTTTAAATCCAGTAATATGTCTGCAGCTTCTGGATTATGGAAGTATTCAACTGCCTCTGTTATTAAATTAGATAAACCTGCATATAGGATCCTAGCCACATCCAGCCCCCCTCCATCATGGAGGAGTTCCTCATGTCTCTCTCTGTCTTCGTTATCTCCATCCTCAGTATCACACAAGTCACCTGTGTCTGATTCCTGTAGGACAGTCAGTGGATCCGTCATGTTACACAGCTCCTCAATGTCACGCATCTTCCTGGACAGCTCCTCCTTCTTTATTTCCAGATCCCGAATCTTATCCAACATGGAGATGGAGACCTGCTTTGCCTGTCCCAAGAGTTCCCTCAGAAATTCCTTTTCTGGGTCTTCCAGACATTTCCTGAGATCTTTAAACAGGGTAGTGACTCTCTTGGTGTCACCAGCTGATTTTACTTCTACTTTCATCCTGTGTTCCTGCAGACTCTGGACTCTTTCCTCCATCTCCTCTCTCTTTGCCAGAAGTGTCTGCAGAACTTTCCTCAGTGTTTCCTTCTTCTTCTCAAAGGCCTCATCCAGCATCTCCACCTGGTGTCCTTGATGTTCTCCAAGCACATAGCAAGACTCACAGATGCAGGTATCATCTTTAGAACAGAAATACTTCAAACCATTGTTGTGGATGGTGCATTTACTTCTCTCCAAGGGGAAGGTGGGGTCAGTTAAGTTGTGTCCTGGTGTATTTTTGTGGACTCCAGAGACCCCGGATTCCTCTTGATCTGGCTGAGCAGACAGGAACTTGTCCACTATGTTATGCAGTGTTATGTTCCTGTGCAGTGGAGGACGATCCGGAAACTTCTGTCTGCATTCAGGGCAGGAATACCCTCCAGACTCCTCCTGTGTATCCAGCACACGACCAATACAGACCCGGCAGAAGTTGTGTCCACATATCAGCATTACAGGATCTGTATAAATGTTCATACAAATGAAACATTCCAGCTCAGCTCTCAGAAAAGCAGCCGCCATCGCTGCCAGCAGATGAGAAATGAAATAAGTGTCTCTAACACTAAAAAATTCAGTTTAACTGGTTCCAGCTTTTCTGTACGGGGCACGGCTGAGCTGATATTTCAGTTGATTGAAATGGAATTAGCAAAGTACACATGGACTTCCATCCCTGACAGAAGAAGAGAAATGAAATAAGTGTCTCTAACACAAAAAATGCAGTTGAACCGGTTCCAGCTTTTCTGTACGGGGCGCGGCTGAGCTGATCTTTCAGTTGAATGAATTGGAATTAGCAAAGTACACATGGACTCGAGGAAACCTCTGTGGGTGGTAGAGTCTATTGCCTGGTTTGAATGATGGCTATTTTTACAATCTAACATATTGTTGGGTTCATTTAAAGTGTAGAGTAGAAGACTAGAACCCCTACCAGCAATCAGTTTGTGTGCTTCTTGTAGGCATTGTAGCATTACCCCCTTAGGGGTTAATGATGAGTTGGGTCCCCCTATGGTCTTGCACAACCAGGCAACATGCATCTTCCTCAGACTTACATTAAGAGTTAGTAAGCAGTCCTTGAGCTTGTTTTTGTCAGTCCTGTGAGCAGATTTAGGTAGGTGGTTGCCTTCAGGCCTTCCACTGGGTTGGCTTCTTTCCTGGCTCTAAAGGGTCTTCGCTTTGGGGGCTGGTGAGAATGAGTGATCCCCTTTTCCAGTTCCCTGCCTGTAGGTAGGCCTCTTCCCACTAGGCCTCCTGCCAGGGTCCTGCATCTCAGCTTCCTCACATATTCCACCTGAACTCTCCTTCCGCTAATCATTGTCAATCACTTGTAAAGGCTGCCCTCAACGCATGCCAAGCATCATTGTTTCCTCTCCTCTTTTTTCTGATGTTCAGGAGTATGTCAAGGCCTCAAGTTACTTTGTATCTCTTTATCTCCCCTCTGATCAATGTTTATAAACAATGTTACTTTGTATCTCTCTATCTCCCGTCTGATCGATGTTTATAAACAATGTTACTTTGTATCTCTCCATCTCCCGTCTGATCGATGTTTATAAACAATGTTAGTTTGTATCTCTCCATCTCCCATCTGATCGATGTTTATAAACAATGTTACTTTGTATCTCTCTATCTCCCGTCTGATCGATGTTTATAAACAATGTTACTTTGTATCTCTCTATCTCCCGTCTGATCGATGTTTATAAACAATGTTACTTTGTATCTCTCTATCTCCCGTCTGATCGATGTTTATAAACAATGTTACTTTGTATCTCTCTATCTCCCGTCTGATCGATGTTTATAAACAATGTTACTTTGTATCTCTCTATCTCCCGTCTGATCGATGTTTATAAACAATGTTATTTTGTATCTCTCTATCTCCCGTCTGATCGATGTTTATAAACAATGTTACTTTGTATCTCTGTATCTCCCATCTGATCGATGTTTATAAACAATGTTACTTTGTATCTCTCTGTCTCCCGTCTGATCGATGTTTATAAACAATGTTACTTTGTATCTCTGTATCTCCTGTCTGATCGATGTTTATAAACAATGTTACTTTGTGTCTCTCCGTCTCCCGTCTGATCGATGTTTATAAACAATGTTACTTTGTATCTCTGTATCTCCCATCTGAACGATGTTTATAAACAATGTTACTTTGTATCTCTATCTCCCATCTGAACGATGTTTATAAACAATGTTACTTTGTATCTCTTTATCTCCTGTCTGATCGATGTTTATAAACAATGTTACTTTGTGTCTCTCCGTCTCCCGTCTGATCGATGTTTATAAACAATGTTACTTTGTATCTCTGTATCTCCTGTCTAGTAAGTGTTGCAGCAAACTTTACATTCACAGTGAAAACAATCGTACAGTTTACATTTTGCTGGCAAATATTTCATTGCGGACTTCTTTAAGAAAAAAAATTACTTGACTTTTAAAACCCTCCAAATATTAGGGGGGGGGGGGGGGGCGGGTCTAATTTTTTTGTGCTTTTGTTTAAATAGAAGCCAGAAAGGAAATATAATTTTCCTGCAACTTATTATATTTATTTCTTTGTAAAGATCAATAGTATTGAAAAATGTTGTTTCCAGCCAAATAGAATAAAAAAAAAAAAATAAAAAAACTGTTTGCTCTGGTATGTGTCCCCTAGGGAAGTTTCCCCTCCCCCCATCATTTTTTGGCAACATTTTGTCGATAAGCTCAAAAACTGAACATTTTTGATTGATGGATTTGGATCCCATATACTTCGGTGAGGTCCAGGTTTTCCATCTGAGCTCTTTTGCAGTTCATCGAACTCTGCTCCAATGGAAAGCATCTCATCTCATCCCTGATCACAGCTCACCCGTTCCCTCTAACCCGGAGTGCTGGAATCTACAATGTCCCGTTGGTGGGGCAATTAGCATGATTTTTGCTCACCATGCTGGAGGAACGGAGAGAGGGGGGGAGCTGCGAATGCCATACTTTGAGTACCCCAAATCTAAGAGAAGGTCTTCAAAGTGTAAACAAATACACCCCAAAAAATAACGAACTGAAAATATCTTCTTCCTGAACCCCAAGCAAACAATTCACGGAAATGAAGCAAACTTCCCTACCTGACCTGATCAATGCCTGTACTGTATGTCATCTCTTCTTATCGTCCCCCAATACGCTGACACTGTGAGGGGCCGCCTGGCACCCTGCCTGAGAGCCTCCATCAGAGAGCTGCAACCTCGCCACTGGAACTCAGGAACTATGTATTGTAGCTGGGCATTGCACCCGAGGACTACACAACACTAGCTTAGGTGCAAACAGGAACTGCCAGGCTCATCTACCAACCGCTCAGTGTCCTCCACCCCTCTCTACCAATCCCTCCACTGGCCTCTATTCAGTGTCCTCCATCCCTCTCTACCAATCCCTCCACTGGCCTCTATTCAGTGTCCTCCACCCCTCTCTACCAATCCCTCCACTGGCCTCTATTCAGTGTCCTCCATCCCTCTCTGCCAATCCCTCCACTGGCCTCTATTCAGTGTCCTCCACCCCTCTCTACCAATCCCTCCACTGGCCTCTATTCAGTGTCCTCCATCCCTCTCTACCAATCCCTCCACTGGCCTCTATTCAGTGTCCTCCATCCCTCTCTGCCAATCCCTCCACTGGCCTCTATTCAGTGTCCTCCACCCCTCTCTACCAATCCCTCCACTGGCCTCTATTCAGTGTCCTCCATCCCTCTCTGCCAATCTCTCCACTGGCCTCCATTCAGTGTCCTCCACCCTTCTCTGCCAATCCCTCCACTGGCCTCCACCCAGTGTCCTCCACCCCTCTCTGCCAATCCCTCCACTAGCCTCCATTCAGTGTCCTCCACCCCTCTCTGCCAATCCCTCCACTGGCCTCCACTCAGTGTCCTCCACCCCTCTCTACCAATCCCTCCACTGGCCTCTATTCAGTGTCCTCCATCCCTCTCTGCCAATCTCTCCACTGGCCTCCATTCAGTGTCCTCCACCCTTCTCTGCCAATCCCTCCACTGGCCTCCACCCAGTGTCCTCCACCCCTCTCTGCCAATCCCTCCACTAGCCTCCATTCAGTGTCCTCCCCCTCTCTGCCAATCCCTCCACTGGCCTCCACTCAGTGTCCTCCACCCCTCTCTGCCAATCTCTCCACTGGCCTCCATTCAGTGTCCTCCATACCTCTCTGCCAATCCCTCCACTGGCCTCCATTCAGTGTCCTCCACCCCTCTCTGCCAATCCCTCCACTGGCCTCCATTCAGTGTCCTCCATCTCTTTCTGCCAATCCCTCCACTGGCCTCTATTCAGTGTCCCCCACCCCTCTCTGCCAATCCCTCCACTGGCCTCCATTCAGTGTCCTCCATCTCTTTCTGCCAATCCCTCCACTGGCCTCTATTCAGTGTCCCCCACCCCTCTCTGCCAATCCCTCCACTGGCCTCCATTCAGTGTCCTCCATCTCTTTCTGCCAATCCCTCCACTGGCCTCTATTCAGTGTCCTTTACCCCTCTCTGCCAATCCCTCCACTGGCCTCCACTCAGTGTCCTCCATCCCTCTCTGCCAATCCCTCCACTGGCCTCCATTCAGTGTCCTCCATACCTCTCTGCCAATCCCTCCACTGGCCTCCATTCAGTGTCCTCCACCCCTCTCTGCCAATCCCTCCACTGGCCTCCATTCAGTGTCCTCCATCTCTTTCTGCCAATCCCTCCACTGGTCTCTATTTAGTGTCCTCCACCCCTCTCTGCCAATCCCTCCACTGGCTTCCACTCGCCCAATTAATAC